CCACGCTGAGAGTGTTCTGTACGTATGCGTGTGTGATGCACGTATGCATGTGCTGCTCTTACGTAAGAAATCGCTGAAGCCTGCTTTGTGCTTAGATAACCTTAGCAGATAAAGGCAGTTGTATTTCTAAAGAGACAGTATCGATTTAAACTATGATTTCTGCACATCCTCAACAAAACTTGGTCTTATCAATACGTTTAATTTTAGCTGTTTGAGTTTGTGTGTTTTGGTGTTTCACTTTGGTTTAAACTTAGTTTCACTGGTTTGGAATGAGACTAAACACGTGATGTGCAGAGGCCATGAGGGCATCAACTTTTCTGAAGAACTGTTCTCTTTTCTTGCTCTTTTTTTCTGGCTTGCTTCTCCCCACTGTCAGTTTTCATTGTGTTCTCACTCACCGACCTTCCCTTCTGTCTGTCTGCTCCTGTCTCTCCCTGTGTTTCTGTCTTTATCGGTCTTGTCCTTGCCTTTCCACACACTCCCTCCCTCCCAGCCTACTTATTCTGAAATGATTCCGTTTCTTCTCATGATTTCCAAAGGATACTTCTGTAATGTTTATAGCAATTTCTTTGGACCAGGAAGCTAGTTTGAAATCCTGTGAGTTTTACCTCTTCATACTTTACTATAATTTATAATAAATGTTCAATTAGTGGGCATTTTAATTTGCTTTTAACTGTTAATAATTGCTTCTAATTATATTACATTAAAATATTTTGGTTATATATCCCATACGTATTAACATTTTTTCTTTTGGTACTCTGCGCTCGTAAGGTTGCAATTTATGAATGTGATATTTAATACAAATGCAGAAAAAATGTCATCTAGATAAAAGTATAACATTTATTGTAATAAGTAGTACCAAATGCTAACAGAACTCAAATACTTTTTAGATGTCTGAAAAATTGATTCTATCTTGAGTAACACAGAACAAAAAAAAAGCATGCTAACATGAAATAAAAACATAGCAACACAAAGTATATGTGTGAACAAGCAGAGGAAATCAACAGCAAAAGAAAGTTGCAGAATTAAGACTTATTGCAGTTTTAGAAATGATGAGGGGGTGTCAAAAAATAAATAGCTATGTGAAGAGAGAAAAGCTGAATGGCCTGATAGGCCGCTTTTAAATTAACGAAATCTAAGATTCGATGAGAAACTATCCATCAAAAACTCAGGCTCAGGTGGCTTTAATACATCTCTTCTCAAGAAACTGAAAGTTATGAAGAAGAGTGGATAATCAGCTGACAGAGATGGAGAGTGAGGCCTTCTTCACAGGGAATAAGGCAAAGGGGAGGATAACACTGGTGAGAAAGGACTGTACAGGGAATATGGAGCCTACGTACAGGAACAGAATTTCAGGTGTGACTTTTGATCCCTCAAATATTCAGCAATGAGCTTCTGTGGTATGCAGTGCTGTAGCTCCTGGCCTGGGGATCCTGCTCTCTTTTCCCCTATTGTCTGATGGAGAACATGATTATAATTCAATACAGGCTCCCACTGAAACAATGTTTCCTCAGACCACCAAGCTGTTTCAGATTTAAGGAAATACTACACTCTCATTTTGATACATCTTTCATCCTACATGACATGGATGCACTGTTGTATGTGCATCTTTGCAATGTTTCCCTTCTCCTACCAAAATTGAGGTCAATTTTTCTTATCTTTTAAAAACTCTAATGATCTCACTGTTTATGCCCAAAGGTCAAGCAGACACTAAGATATGTAGACAGTGATTTTGATTTTTAATTGATTGCTTAATTTTTAGTTGCGTGTTTTCTTCTCCACCAAAGTTACCATGATGCAAATTTATCTTTCTTATGGGAGGGGAAGGTCAATTTAAGGAAAGGAGGAAGTGGAATCTCTAGGGACTAGTGGTGGACAGAACCTAGTAGGATAAATGTTCCTTTCCCTTGAGTTTTCCCTGGAACACTGTGGGGAGCTCCCCTGGGCCATGTGACACAGTGAGGAGTTGAGGGGAATGAGGGAGACACAGTTCAGTGACACTTTTGTGTCCTCTTAGGACTAGGTCTGGAAACACCTTCGCGCTTGCCTCTATTGGCATGACATACAACAAAGTCTTGGGAAACACTGATATGTATATATATTCAATGCTAATAACTAAGATTTTAATAGGGAAGGGATGCTGATGTAGCATTTATTTGACAACTGAAAAATATCCCTGAACTTTTAGAATTTTTCATGAAATCCACTTTCATTTCTTCCTTTCTGTTGTCACTTTGCAATATAGTCAAAATAATTTAGGTTTTTAAAATGTAGAGATGGGAATATGAAATGTAAAATCTGACCTTTCTTTAGAGGAAATAGATGGGATTGCAGACAACCAAATGCTAATCTCGTGAAATGTGAACTTGAAACAAACTTTTTTCCATGTCAGGCATTTTTTGTTTCCCTTTTGGTGTCTATACGGTTAAACCTTTTTTTAGATGTTAGATCAAATACGGAAATAAAAATCTATCATATTGAAGAATTGTAGAAAATATATTAAAACATACTTAATGTTAAGACAAAATTTAAAAGAAAAAACACTGACCTATAACTATGTTTCCTTTTTTTGGCTTCTTTCAGAGAACTAAGTTCTATAATTGTTTGGTCTTCCATACATATTATGTAGTATTAATTCTGATAGATTGAAATGACATCAAAATTATTACAAGTGATAGTAATACTGTTGATGATGGCTGAATGTTTTTAAGAGATTATTTTCCTTATTATGTGACATAAACTGCTACGAGTATTTCACTGTTAATCCTCATAGCATCAGTATAAATTAAGTACAGTTATTTTTCCATTGTATATATGAGGTAACAGACATGTAAAGGTTAAATAACTTGTCTACGGTCACAAGGATTGGATACGTGTAGTCCAGGTCTGACTTCATACCCTGTGTACTAGTAATTGTATTATGTCACATTGTGTTGCATTCTATTGTGCTGGTCATGCTATGCTACATGTTTATTATACTATCATAAAATGGTGTATTAATTAAATTCTGGAGTAAAAACTACATTCACATGTTCAAATCCTTAATCATACTATGTGGTTTTGAACATATATGAATAGTTTATGGTTTTGCAAAGGGCTTGGTTTGAATGCCACATGGAAGGGACACGGGTGTTGGATTCCACAGATCTAGCACTGGGATCACCTGTAAAATGTGACAGTCTTCCAAGGGCTACGTTCTCCTTTAGAAGAGGGGCCACAAAATTTTGCTAAGCTTAGGGAGAAAGCAAAGATGTTCCTTTTAAAATGATGTTTCTTGAAAATCAAAACTTGGATTTTCCCCCATCTTACATCAGCAATCCAAATTAATACTAATTAGGGCAGGAATTTTTGAGCCAAAAGAGATCTTGAAGATTTGTCCTAGGCAGGCAACCTTTCTGGGGTACGTAGAGACCTAAACGCAGGAAGCAGTGGGTGGAACGCTGCTCTACAGGTGTATTTACAGGAAGGGCCTATTTGCGGGCGGGAGAGCCTGCCTGGCAGGTGCCCACAGTTCTGACTGCTTTGCTTTTGCACCAGTCTTTCTGTAAATGGCTCCTCCACTTGGATTTAATTTAATTTATAATTTTGAAACTTTGTATATGCTCCCCTGTCTATAAATTTTGAAACTGCCTTATTTAGCACATTATTTTTTTCACCTTCTCAAAGCGGTATAAAATACGACTCAGAGAGTTTATTTAATACTTTTCTCTCCTGTTATCAAATATTTCCCCCATCTGTGCAGCCAGTAATTAATAGAACTAATTGCTACAAACCAGTCATCCAGGAGCAAACGTTTTGCCAGTATCATTAAAGTTTGGGAAACTCCTTAATTAGAATCCTTACCTTGGCTCTAGACCAGGGACTAGCAATCTCACAGAACTTTATGATGCAGTGATTGAACAATGTGATATTTCTTTCCCTGAAGAAAAGATAGGTCATGTAGAACATCACGTAAAGCTGAGCGGAGAGTGAAGGAGGGTTAATTTCAGTGGTAACAAATCTTTAAGAGAGACTTGCTTGAACTTTATTCTGAGGCCTCGATACTCCAGTGACATACTCTAACTTTTGAATGTTCCATATTTTGTCCTCTACTTTTTTTTACAGACTTCCTTGTAAATCTGTTAGTTCATTAATTTTTACAAGTCATAAGGTCCCCCATAAGGGCCATTGGTATTCTACAGTGACTTGGTTTTGGGCTGTTTTATCAAGGAGAATGCAAGAGCCAGGAGTATCATGAGACTTTAAGTAGAAATCCGATTTTCTCTAAGAACAGTGCCCTCCTGTAAAGAACCTGGGAGAGATTCTGCCTCACGCTTTTTATGACTGGTTACTGGCCTGATGGCTTCTAGTCATTAGAACTCCAAGGCCACTTGGATTGACTTGGAGACTTAACGGAACACTGTCTACGTCAGTTTTCTATGACAGCCAGGTCCTTTATATGCGTTCAACAGAATAAAAAAAAATCCAGGGACAGAATCAAAGCTCTGTCTGTAAAAACGTCTTTGTACACAGACCCAAACAAAAACAGAAGCACTGCGAGCAGCAGAAAATAATCACATTAACGGCAAAAGCCCGTGCACCTGCCAGTGGTACAGCTTCCAACCCAAGGTCTAACGATCTCGCATGGAAATCCAAGCCCAACTGATAGAACTATGTACCTTCAAGCCAAAATTAATTTACGTCAAGATCTAGGCTTCAACACTTTTCATAAAGGTCTAGGTTTAATAACCTTATACAAAAACTTACTTGGTTACAAATCCTAGGATAACAAAATACTTTTAAAAATGAAGCTGGAGCTTAGGTCACTGTTGAGATTGTCTCAGCAGCCAACAGACCTAAAGGAAAAGCTGTTCTGGCATAAGGAGTCCAGCGAGCTTGCCTGCTGGCCTGAGACTCCTTGGTTCTGTCGACTCCGTGTCTGTAAAAGCAGACCCTCAGAAATGCTCATGAGACCACCATTCAGTTTCTGAAATGGACTCTTCTGAATTCATGTATTTCAGTGAAGCCAGACAGTCTCTGCGTGGAGCGGGCTGGCGATCTTACGGAGTTTTTGGAATCGTGGACAGAGGACTCGGCAGTCTCTCAGAAGGTGAGGTGTGCTGAGATGATCTGCAGCAGTGCGGTTACACCGCGAGATGTTCCCGATTAATAACCCGCAAAGGTATGTGTACGGAATAAGCCTGTTCTTTATTGCTGACTTCAGAAGTGAAGTTCTGACACTGCTGGCTTACAAAAAAGTTCTCATTCAGTTGAGCTGTCCGTGATCAACGGACCAGGGTTTCCCAGATTCTGATGGCTACTGGTTACTTGGTGTCACTACAGAGCAATTCGTCTTTTTCTTGGTTTATGGGGACTTTTCCCCCTCAACAGCATACTAAGCAAGCATAAATCCAGAAGAGTGAGGTAAAACTTCAAGAATGAAGAGAGGAAGCCTCAAGCCTCAAATTGGTAAGATTTTGATAAATGTTAAGAGAAATGTTAAGATTTTTGTTTTATTTATAAGCATCAGTGGGGATAATTTGTCAGTTTCACCAAAATTTTAAATAGGTGACATGAGATTTGGTATTTTAAATGGGAGCCCATAATTATTCAATACCAACAGGGATTGTTTTGCTGTTAATAATTCTTGTGAAAAAACTGTATTTCTTCTTTAATCTTGGAATAATGAATTCATTATATTTATTAAAAAGAAACATTATTATTAGTTTCAATAATCCAACAATACTACAAAGAAGGGAAACACTGGAAAACTCCACAAATATCAAGTCATCATTAGAGTTAAAACTCTCTGCTAATCCATAAATCCCATGAATGTCAGTTTTACTTTTGTACTTAATTGCATTCAGAGTTTGCCACCAATCCTTTTAACACAGTTTCTTTTCCCAAATTATTTGGAGTCACATCTTTGTAGGCACATTTTACTGTATTTCTTGAAATCCACATTGAAGATTGCCAGCTTCTTACATATACTCGATCACCATCTTTTCTGAGTGTTATATCCTCGAGCTTCCTTTTTCCCTCTCGGAATAGTCTACATGCTTTAAATATTTCCTGTCTAGTGTTTCTCTGGAGCAGCATCAGGCCACTGTTAATCTTCCCCTTCCATGTCACGTTTTCTCCACACGGGTAGCTAACTTACCTCAAAGCTGGGTAAGGGAACCAGAGACGTACATAGGCTGAATCTGCTTCATTTTAACTCCTTTGAAAGCAGTAACCCCCTTACTTCAGCCTGAAACTTAAGATTGCATTCTTTAAAATTCCTCTCTCTCACTCAACAGATACATCCATGCGGGGGTTTTGGAAAAGGAACATAACATCAAGAGAAACTCTCTCTTGATACTAATTCCTGCCTGGCTTAAAGGGTCTGTAATAACCACACCTGCAGTAGGAACCTTCCTCTCTAGTATCAGATCTTATGACCTGCCCCTCCTATGTTATTTTTAGACCCTACATCCTATAGAGGGTTACAATATTTAGGATGTAAGACTTGCTGCTTGCAATATAGTGACACAAAAGAGTGCAATTCTTTCTCATATAAGGTCAAAACATGAGTGATATTTGCTGGCAGGGTGGTTCTGCGCCAACATGTTTTTTTAAGGGAGAGCCTTTGATCCTTTTTATCTTATTTCTCTACAAACTTCTGAGCCATCACTTCCGTATGGTGGAATCTAAGTCAGCTCTGTATCCGGGATCCTGTTTCAAACAGGTACACAGAAATAGAATTGGGGGGAAAACAGGTTTTTTAAGGAAAAGACACAAAATTTGCACATATTACTTCTGATCATTTCAGGTGTTGGTGAGCTAGTCACATGTCACTGCTAGCTCCAAGAGAGGCTGTGAGAGCTGTTGCCTAATCAGGCAGCTGTATGCTCAGTGAAACTACATGATTACAGAAGACTGGAACTGCAGATCTGAAGGGGAGAATAAGTTAGCCAAGGGGCAACTATCATGTCACACCCAGAGGAGAATGCTTACCTACCAGGACAATTATGATTTTTACCAATGTTTATCAGCAGAAACATGGGGAATATGTGTTGGAATGAATTTAAATATGGTAGTGCAGAGAGAAAGGAACAGTTTGAGATCAGACCAACCTTATCAATATGGGTAGAATGACTGGAAATTCATTCACACACTGGAAGTTCAGTGTGTGTAGCTGTTCAGACAAGTGGCATGGATGGTTGACTAAAATCTTAACAGAATTGTAACCTGAATGAAGCTGAGGTATAAGAACTCCCTTGGCAGGATGTAAAAAGAATGAATCCAAAGGTCTCTAGAGGAAGGTGGGAATGTTGGAGTGATACTGAATGAAAAATGTGCTACAGGCTCACCTACATTCTGTGTCTCCTGAAGAGGACTGTCCATTACTGTAGTGTTGAGAAACGAATCGATGATGGAGTGGGGGACATCCTCAGACTCCCTAGTGGTTGTCCCTGGTAGCCTCGGTATAAAATAGAAAATTCTGCCTTGAAACTGATAACTGAGTAAATGATGAAATCTTGGGTGATGGAAGCCAACTGCAAAATTTATCTGACCTAGACAAGATAGCCATTGTTAACTGAACGAGGCAGCAAGACTGCAGTGAAAACAAGTATTCTGACCCCCTGCGAGAAACTGGTAGCTAACTGAGGCTCTTCTTGATCTAAGTAATGAAAGTCAGCGTTAGGGCACAGTTCTGTCTTGAATAGCTGTTCTCATTTCCAGACCAGAGCCTTCAACATGGCTAGTACCTCTCAAATGAAACCGCTTGCCAAGATGCCTTTCCACCACAAGTGCATCTTACATAACTTCTTCCCAGCTTTCCTCAAAGTGATCTAGGGCCATTTGTTAAAACGATTGCGCCCTGGGGAAGCGAAAAACCTACATCTCTTGTGGATGAGCGAACCAAGGTTCTGAAGTTATGATGATTTTAGGGGACACAGAACACTACCATGCTTACTGTAGTCACAGGCTGGCTTATCCTGGAGGAGTGATAAAATGCAGTGGAGTCTGAGCCCAGGCTGGTCCCACTGTGGTCCAGTGCCCCAACGCACGTGCTCATCTGTAGTTATGTCCCGAATGTTTACCTGTAGTAAAAATACTCAGAAGTCCTTTATTGGCTCCCAGACTCACGGGCCTCTAAATGTCTGGTTGCCTGACTCTGCCCTGAGATGGGGCTTTGTTTTATTTTTTTACTTTACTTTTTTCTTCCTCTGAATATGTTGTCTTTGTCTAAGTCTTTGAGGTGACTGGTCTGCTGTTCTTCCTCCAGGGACTTAAGGCTTTATTACTTAGAGGGAGACCCCCCAGGTGGGTCTTTGTGCCATGTCCACCTCTGCAGAGCCTCCCTGCACGTGTGCGCCACCACGGGACGGGTTCTGTGTTCCCTGTGCCCTGTCGCTCTCACTGCGTCCAGTGACAGACAGTCCGTGAAGATGCAAGATGGCGTGAATGCCACTTGCTTTCCACCATCCTTATTTTTTCTAGCATATAATTAGGGACATTGAATAATTTCCAGTTTTTTTCTAACATTTACCTCTTTGCATAATAAGGTTGCTGACTTAGGAATGTGGTCTGCGGGTTACTGTTGGTTAATACTGGATTGTGACTGAAACAGATAAAGTATCAATGTCCATCAAAATCTGTGAATTGACTTTCGATGGGAGGGAGGTCCATTTTTCTTTATAAGTGTTGTAATGGCGTTAGGACAGCAGAGTGTTGCTGTTGCTCTTTTTAGAAGTTACTTACGAGAAAACCCGTGTGTGGATACTGTGTAGTCATAGTATTTTGCGGCAGATACTTCAGTCACCCTCAGTACCCGGATACTGTGTAGTCATAGTCGTATTTTGTGGCAGATACTTCAGTCACCCTCAGTACCTGCTGTCTGCAGCAGGCTGTATTTATACTGGCAGTGCGAACATCAGGGTTTCCATAGCGCTGATGGTTTGTGCATGGCCTGACTTCCAACAGAGGGACTTGCCTAGATACCTGGTAGGCAAAGGTACCTTTAGGAATCTTTATGCACCTGTAACAGACCATTTGGCAGCTACAAATAGGCTGAAAATATTTCTTTTAATTTGACCTATATATTTGTTTTGTAACTGTTTTCTCATACAGATTTAATATTTGTGAGAATATTGAGTTTTTAGTTTTTACGTTTGCCTTTGTTTTCATACCTGAATGAACACTGATTATCCTAAATCCTATTAATATTCTAAATTGTCTTCTAATTATTTCTAATTGTTCTTTTCTAATTTGTTACTTTACCTATCATAAACAATTTTTTTCTTGATGGTTGTCATATCACTCAATACCAGTCATTCAGTAATTCTTCCTTTTTTATTGTGATGCTGTTTTCATCACAAATCCCTGAAATTTGTTGGCACTTAATTATTTTTCAGTGATATATTCTATGTAATTCTTAATAATTGGGGTGGAAATCAATCTTTATATTATCTCACTTTTCTTAGCTAATTTTAAGAGTATATTGACTACATTATCTTTTTTTAATAGAATTACAACTAGAATTCTAGGTACTTTTATTAAAAAATACATCAAATTAATAATTTAGTTTGGAGAGAAGTGATGTTTGGGTAATACTGAATGTATTCATCTGAAATTTTCATTGACCTACTACATATCTATAGTCTTTTGAAAAATACTGTGCTTGAATATTTCAGTTGATGTTTCACATACTGATCTTTGCTAACATGAATGGATTCTCTTCTCTACAAAATACACTTTATGTCAGGAAATTACTGATTGCTGCCTATATAGTTGTATCCAGAATTCTTACTAAGTGGTCTTAGTAATTTTAGAAGATTAGTAGATGATTTGTTTGTGTTTTCCAGGTAAACAGTGTCATCTGAAAATAGTATTTCATTTCTTCCTCTCATCTATTATATCTTATATTTACATTATATTTATTATATATATTTTATGACTTATGAGAAAAACTATTCCAAAATGTTACAAACTGAAATAGCGAGTTATAAGTATGCATGTTTTCCTGACTTTAATAAGAATGTATTTAGTGTTACATTCTTAAGTGGGATTTTGGCGTTATGTTTCATATAAATAGTCTTATAAAGTTAAGGAATTATCTTTCTTCCTATCCTAGTTAAAAGTTCCTTTTAATACTAATGGCTATTAAAAATTTTAAGTGTCATCATTAGTGCTTAG